AATAGACTTAAACAGCATGCGTTTAATAGCACAAAATTGGAGTGAACGGATAGAAATCTTCTTAGACTATGGAATGGATTATTATAGCTATAAAAAGTTGCATCGTCACGTGTTGATAGCCAGTTGGCAGTGACTGTTCTTGTGTTCTTTATGATTACGTGTATTAAGTTCATTCCTTGCTTTAGTTTTGATATGTATTTAATAGCAAAATCGTTTGAAAATATCATTGTATCCATTCAATTTCTTACACCCATACACTTAATTCCAGTCGCAGCTTAAAGTACGTTAAGTACAAATTCATGTTCACATACGTGCATTTGTTGTTGTACACTTTTTGACCGGACGTAAAACGCTTTGATAATTATGTTAAGCTTTGTTGAGTTATTCATCGCAGCGTTTAATGTTTTTGGTCAAAGTTGTAATACCTTCAATTAGCTATGCCGATGAAATCAGTTGCAACCGAATGGTCTCTTAACCCACGGCTTCAGCGACGACTATGCAGCTCATTTGTCATGAAATGCCCGAAACTGCCCGCCAATGGAGAATAAGCCGGTTTCCAAATAAGATTCTCCACCAGAGACCAATTCCACGCCGTGAAGCAGTCAAATGCATGGAACACTTGCTCTTCCCTTAGCACACATTCTTGTGTATGCATGTACGTACGTATGTGTGCAGAAAAGCATTCGATTCCATCGAGCTGAGAGCTGTGCTAAACGCCTTGCACGACAGCGATATTAACTCTGCGTATGTCTACCCTGGTGAAAGAGCTGAATACTGGCACCGCAATCGACATATAACTGATCGAGGAACCGTGTCGAATCAACATCAAGAAAGGAGTGCACCACTGACATCGCCTCTCCTACGGCGCTCAGTCGTTCTTTAATCATCTGAACAGTGGTGGCGTCATCAACATTCTTGGAGAGCGGCCCCCCCCCCTCCGCTTTTTACAGACGATGCTATGATCTTCACCGAAGACTTGGCGGGAACTCCAAAGATTGTGCAGTTGCAGAAAGAATTGCGCGTGCTATATATCTGGATGTGAACATCTCTTAGACGAAATTGATGCGCAATGAGCATTGCCTCGTGTTTACTATTTTCATCAACGACAAAGAAGTTGGAAAAGTGGCTGGATGCGTATGCGTGAGTCATCTAATAGACTACAGTAGCAACATCATCGATGAGATTTACAGAAGAAGGAACGAGGCATAGACAAGTTTCAATCACAATTAAACATCGCTGATGAAGAATGAACTGATAATATCCGCCAAGAGATAACTATTCGATTTTGCCATCCGTCCCGCTATGCATTATGACGTAGAGCCTTGGTCTACCACGAAGGCGGAAGAAAAACTTCGCGATAAGATAAACAATACCCAGGATTTCCCTTCGAAACCGTGCTCCAAGTGGCATAGTTAAGTGTTGAACATTTCTTTTGGATATACTCACTGCCGCTTACAACGTTACAAGACGATGGGCTGGCCATGTGGCTCGTTTGAAGGAGAGCAGGTTGATATTCTAAGTTACGAAATAGATCCAATTTTGCAATAGTCGTTCACTCGATCGTCCACAAACATGCTGGGACGACTCAATAACGAAGCCGTTTGTCAATCATAAAAGCAAACGGCACAATATCGAGAAGATTAGCGGAATGCCGACTTAAA